TGATAGTCCCTCCTCTGGACCTGGGAGATAATTTGATCAGGAACAGTACTAATCTAATCCAATTATCTCCAAGTACAGAAAAACATACTTTTTCCCCAAACATTCCAAAAGTACCCCAAAAACACATAAAACCCCACAAAAGTTACATCCCCTTATCTGGGTGACTAACATATACTAAAATCTCCCAGATAATTTCAGAAGTCATTTATTTGACCGACCGCAGGCATGGTCCCATGCCCAAAACAGTTCCAGAGAATCTGGCGGGTAGAGGAGCAAAATGCTCAGAAACATGGATGCCGTGGTTCACCTTCCGATTGGGCGCATAGGGGGGTGATCGGCGGGTCGGGGGCCGGGGGGCGGCGCAGCTCCCACAATAAAACCATACTATACGCCACACCCCACAAACACCCTCTTACGCTAGAACACATAGGCATCAGACTGAAACGCGCTGACTATACCACATACTTAGGTAGGAGAACACCAGAGACGACAACAGCCAAAGGGAAAAACAGGAAAGAAACAAATGTTGACAAATAACTGGAACAAAGCTACACCCCAACACGCCCAACAGGTTACGCTCAAACGAATGACTGACGGACGAGAACTTGACTAACCCCACATGACACCTTTTACCACTATAACACAGGACAGTAGCAGCTAACTAAGACCCCAAGGGACCTAATACTAAAGGAGTGACTTTGGGTCAACTGGCTACCAGACATGATAAAACCAACTCCCTGACACACACATAGCAAACTTTCACTCCCCTCGAGAGAAATCCCGGAAGACTCACACTCCCTGCCCCCACTGACACACGCAACACAATACATCATCTTCCTCGTACGCCACTCCTGAAATAACATGCTCCGGAGTCAAGTGGGCTAGTCAGGGAAATAGACCCAAACCTATACGAAACACATGAAATACAGGGGATGATACCCAGAGGAGGAAGGGAGACCTCTTACCAAAGCGGCCCCAGAGATAACCCTCATGGGCACTATTACAATACGTGACATGAATGCACCGAGGTCCGAAACACCCATATATAACAAATAAATAAATAACTATAAATTGGAAAAAATACTAATATAGTAAAATCTTGAGATAAGAATTGACAACTATAACCACTGTGCCACTAGTACGAATAGTAACCACCACCAGAGGTTACAGGATAAAAGTACATAAAAGTTGCTTATTGAAATAAATCAATAATAGATACTGGACTCAGTGGAAATAGCAAATTAAAAGGATCCTTAATTGGTCCTTCTGAGGTTAAAATGTATCAGCTGGTCGGACCTAAACCTCCTATAGAGTAAGGTAGGTAGAATCCACCAGCTGCAAAAGAGTTAATATAGTAGAGATCCTGTAATTATAAGAATCAATACCACAAAAATATCATAGATATAACATACCACTAGTAATAGGATATGTTTAAATAAAAATATATCTTAATAAAAAATCCCAAAGGATCAGAAGTTAGTCTCATATATGTACAGCAGACATCAAACTATTAATAAATGGTTTATTGTCTAAACAGCACACATAAAATATAAAGACTAATAAAAATCAAGCAGTCCCACATGAGAGAGATATATGGTGTACCGGGTCATAGTAGACTGAGGGTCCAAAAGTATAGATGAAAGTTGCACTCTCTTGCCGGACAGAGATGAAGGAGGGCTGCCTCGTGCTGCACTGACACCGGGTGTTCACCGCGTGTGTTCCACTGCGGCTGGATGCGTTCCAAATACTCTCTCTCGGGAACTAACTGTGATGATCGCAAGATGCCTGCCTTACGCGTTTCGTGATTTCAAATCACTTCATCAGAGGATGGCATCAGAGAGTCTTTGTCCTCTTATATACTCACTTGCTCTAATCAGTTAATTGCTCTTATCAGTTAACCCTCAGTTTACCGAAGAAAAAGAACTTGAGCAAGTAGACAATTGAAAAAAATAAAATGCAATCCATTACATCATAAATAAATTATCACATTTTAATGCATTATAAACATACTTTTTTTGTACATGATTCAATGGAAAAAAATCACATTAGTTTTAACAGTCATTACAAGGAATTAGTAATTCAGTATCTTAATAGCACTTGATACATATACTGTTACAAATTAAAAAATAATTCTTTTGAGTGACAGGAGATCAGATACTTTTAGCAGAGAAAAACTTAACATAATAAGAAACTACATGGTGAATAGATACATATGGTATTAAAACAGACCATCTAAAATAACAGAAACTGTCTGAAGGATGAGGTGGGACATATCATATAATGGATACATCACTATTACATATACTTAAAATGGTGGAATATCTGAAGGAAATGCAAATGGCAATTGATTATGGAAAATAACATGAAAACCAATAAAGATAGTTTAATTCTAAAAATATAATGTATAATGGAAGGTATAAAAATCTATACAAATAGTGGATGGGAAAAAAATGTTATAAAAATCTAATAAACATATCGCAAATATTGTAACAGATATGAATGTGACCTATGATGTAAAAATATGGAATATGCTAAAAATATATAATAAATTTCTTTAAAACTATTACGCTAATGTAGCTAGTACACATAATGATTCTGGAAATATAGTGGATAATAATAAAAAACTATTATAAAAATTGTACCGTTTAAATATTGTTGCAAAAAATCTAATAAGAGTATAAGAATATCAAAAATAAGACAATCTGTATATGTATTATATGTAGTGTAAAAATATATATAATATAAAAATAGAAGATATGGTAAAAAATAAGTATTAAAAATATCCATTTTGCTTCATTTTTGTCCAGCATTTTCTCAAAATCACCTCCCCTCCAATGTGGATTAACTATATCAATAGCATAGAATTCTAAGCCCATTGGATCATTAGAATGATAGTCGGAGAAGTGTCTTGAGAGATTGTGCGTATTTAATCCTTTCGGATTTACGGATGTGTTCTCCTAATCTCGTTCTGAATTTTCTTTTCGTCCTGCCCACATAATGTTTCTTGCAGGGACAAATTAGGAGATATATGACTCCTGTGGAGTTACAATTTAGATTTGACTTAATTTTAAATTCTTCATCTCCACTCATATTACTGAATTTTCTTGTCAGAGCTGGTTGTGTTGGGTTATTCTTGCAACCTGGACATTTATTACATTTCTGAAAACCTACCATCTCCTGGTTAGTTCTTGATGGTCTAATTTCTTTGATCGTTGGAGCTAATATGGTTTTCAAACTTGGAGCCCGGGAATAAAAGATTTTCGGTTTGTCATCCAATTTGGCGCTCAATGTGTTCTCTTCTTTCAGAATGTTCCAATGTTTATTTAAAATCTGTCTAACTCTCCCTGCTTGATCACTAAATTGAGTGATAAATGCAGGAGCCTCAGTGTCAAATTTAGATATTTTACTTCTGCTTTGTAGTGTCTCTTCTCTTGATAAATTCAAGGCTTTATTCATAGCATTATTCAACAAATCTAGGTCATATCCTTTCTTCAAGAACTGGCCTTTCATTTCTTCCATCTGATTTATACAAATTTCCAATTCTGTACAATTCCTTTTTAGTCTCCTAAATTGCCCATAAGGGATATTATCCAGCCAAGATCTCTTGTGGTGACTATCCAAAGGAATGAAACTATTGCAGTCAACCGGTTTTCTAAATGTTTTAGTATTGATTCTTCCTTCTTTGATATAAATCTCCAAATCTAAAAATTCCACCGAAAATTGGGATTGAGTAAAAGTGAATCTTAAATTATATGGATTAAAATTAAGATAGTCCTTGAATTCCGTTAGAGAGGATAAATCCCCTTTCCAAATAAAAATACAATCATCGATGTAGCACCGCCACAGGACCAGGTTTGCACCATGTATGGTGTTGTTCCAAATGAATTCTTCCTCCCACTTGCCCATGAATAAATTGGCATAGCTTGGTGCAAACCTGGTTCCCATGGCAGTGCCCTCTATTTGAAGGTAAAACTGCTTTTGTGCCCAGAAAAAAATATGGCTCAAAATGAAAGCGATTGCTTGAACAAGGAAACTAATCTGATCATTCTTTAACTCTGAATATTTAGCAAACGAATGTTGGGTGGCTTCACATCCTTGAAGATGTTCGATTATTGTATATAGTGAGGTAACATCAGCCGTCACTAGAAAATACCCCTCATTCCATTCAATGTTAGACAATGTTTGAATCACTTGTGTAGTGTCCTTCAAATACGATGGTAGATTAGCCACCTTTGGTTGTAAAAACTGGTCCACATACTGGGAGAGGTTAGATGTCAATGAATTGATACCTGAAATAATTGGTCTTCCAGGAGGGTGGGTAAGATTTTTATGAATCTTAGGTAGATAGTAGAATACTGCTGTCTTTGGATGTCGGCACCAAATAAAATCATGTTCCCTTTTATTTAGAATTCCTTTATCTTTGCCTTCATTTATTAGTTCCAAAAACTCTTCCATGAAGGTTTCCTGAGGAATATTTGTAAGAGGTAAATATGTATTTGAATCACTAAGTAGTCTCGTGGTTTCTTTTTCATAATCCACAATATCCATTACAACAACCCCTCACCCTTTATCTGCAGATCTTATTATAATGTCGGGGTTATTCATGAGTAATTTTAGGACTCTCCTTTCTTTAATAGTCAGATTGTCTTTGGTCTTCTTTCCTTTATCCAATTTCCTTAGATCTTTCTCAACTAATCTCTCAAAGACTCTAATGCTGTCACTTTTAATTTGTTTTGAATAAAATATGGATTGTGGATGGAGATCCGTGTGTGTATATCCCTCCTCTTCAGTGTGTTTCGTGAACTTGTTTTCTAAGAAACATTTCTTAACTGTAAGTTTCCTTATAAACTTATGGAGATCTATAAAGGTATTGAATTGTGAACTCTTTTTGTTTGGTGCAAATTTTAAACCTTTTTTGAGTATGTTTATTTCGTCATTATTGAGGTTATAACTTGATAGATTAAACACACTTTTTATCTCATGTATCTCTTTTAGGTTCACTAAATTTGGTTTGTTTCTTCCCTGTCTTCTTCTCTTCTTTGTCTTTTCCTCAGGATTGGGGATCGTAGTTGGTCCCCCCTTTCTCTCCATGATTTCTTTAGTGCCGTTTTCGTCTCTTCTCTTTTCTCTAAAAAATCCCCTAAAAAATCCCTCTTCTGAGTAAGAATGGTGTGGGATTCTATATGTGGTGTACTCATAGGAGACTTAATCGGGGTTTCTCTTTTGTCTCTAGATGTCTTCTTTCCAATAGGTGAAGTTTGACTCCTTCTCCCTTCATACCCTCTATGTTTGGTCTCAAACTGTACTCTATTTGTGGTAGGGGATTGACGGTGATAATGGTTGTAGTTGTTTCTCTCTATTGTGTATCTGGGGGATCTTGATCTCTTCCTCTCCATTATTCTCCCCTGATTTCTAGAATAGTTCCTAGATCTAATATGGGAATACTGATGATGGTAATAATTTCTTTCTTTTTCATTTTTTTAAAATAAATTTATTATATATTTTTAGCATATTCCATATTTTTACATCATAGGTCACATTCATATCTGTTACAATATTTGCGATATGTTTATTAGATTTTTATAACATTTTTTTCCCATCCACTATTTGTATAGATTTTTATACCTTCCATTATACATTATATTTTTAGAATTAAACTATCTTTATTGGTTTTCATGTTATTTTCCATAATCAATTGCCATTTGCATTTCCTTCAGATATTCCACCATTTTAAGTATATGTAATAGTGATGTATCCATTATATGATATGTCCCACCTCATCCTTCAGACAGTTTCTGTTATTTTAGATGGTCTGTTTTAATACCATATGTATCTATTCACCATGTAGTTTCTTATTATGTTAAGTTTTTCTCTGCTAAAAGTATCTGATCTCCTGTCACTCAAAAGAATTATTTTTTAATTTGTAACAGTATATGTATCAAGTGCTATTAAGATACTGAATTACTAATTCCTTGTAATGACTGTTAAAACTAATGTGATTTTTTTCCATTGAATCATGTACAAAAAAAGTATGTTTATAATGCATTAAAATGTGATAATTTATTTATGATGTAATGGATTGCATTTTATTTTTTTCAATTGTCTACTTGCTCAAGTTCTTTTTCTTCGGTAAACTGAGGGTTAACTGATAAGAGCAATTAACTGATTAGAGCAAGTGAGTATATAAGAGGACAAAGACTCTCTGATGCCATCCTCTGATGAAGTGATTTGAAATCACGAAACGCGTAAGGCAGGCATCTTGCGATCATCACAGTTAGTTCCCGAGAGAGAGTATTTGGAACGCATCCAGCCGCAGTGGAACACACGCGGTGAACACCCGGTGTCAGTGCAGCACGAGGCAGCCCTCCTTCATCTCTGTCCGGCAAGAGAGTGCAACTTTCATCTATACTTTTGGACCCTCAGTCTACTATGACCCGGTACACCATATATCTCTCTCATGTGGGACTGCTTGATTTTTATTAGTCTTTATATTTTATGTGTGCTGTTTAGACAATAAACCATTTATTAATAGTTTGATGTCTGCTGTACATATATGAGACTAACTTCTGATCCTTTGGGATTTTTTATTAAGATATATTTTTATTTAAACATATCCTATTACTAGTGGTATGTTATATCTATGATATTTTTGTGGTATTGATTCTTATAATTACAGGATCTCTACTATATTAACTCTTTTGCAGCTGGTGGATTCTACCTACCTTACTCTATAGGAGATTTAGGTCCGACCAGCTGATACATTTTAACCTCAGAAGGACCAATTAAGGATCCTTTTAATTTGCTATTTCCACTGAGTCCAGTATCTATTATTGATTTATTTCAATAAGCACCCTTTATGTACACATATATAACAGCACACAACAAGGGGGGATCCCTAACGCAATATACTCCAATCACCGATAAAGTACATTGTCGCCTTCCGAACCCATCTGTGACGAGACCAATCTCGCCACATTGCATGGGAGAAGCCTGGTTGCTCGCCTGTTGCCTTTGGATTATGGCCCCATGTTAAAAGGCTTGATTTTCCCTGCAAAGACAAGAAAGCCGGGTCATTTGGTGCTTGCCCTGTTTGAGCAGTGATACCCCAGATAGCTATGCCATGGAGCCCATTCGTATAATGAAAGACTATGGGAAAGACTTTGGCTCCATGGCAATTGAACTGTATGTGTGTGCTCTGGGCGCCATTCAGTAATAATGTGCGCTCAGATCTGAGCTATCTGGGGATATGTTGAATGTACCTGTTTTGTGCAATGGCTGCACAGTTATATATTTTTATGTGTTTTATTGTCTTTTGCTGCCATGTGTTCAATAGAGTTTTGCCTCTGTCCTTGGAGATAATTGGATTACTTCCCAATTATCTCCAGGATAGAAGACTCTGTGGAACTGGTTTTGGGCAGAAAAGCCATGCTTCCTTTGGTCACAAAGGACTACGATCTATCTTTTGAACCACTGGACCAATTTGTATGATTTTGACGTATGTTTGTATTTGGAGTATACTGATTCTGAAAATTTAAGTTATATGTGAATGTGATGCATACTTTTCAAGTTATGAATAATGTGGAAATTTTTTATTTCTCTGCTTGTGATAATTACATTACCCATTGTGTAAGGTAATTGTATCACAGGCAGAGGGGAGGATTTTGTGTGGGAGTGTCTGAGTGTATTGTATGTGTTTTATTGGTTGTGTTCCAAAACCCTGTGGGTGGTACTAATGTGTAAGAATGTGTACATAAGCACAATAAACCCACAGCTCTGTCTGTTCACTGCTTGACCCTCAACACAGAGCTTTGTCTCGTTCTTGGGGGGATTTACTGTATGCTGTTCCAATTTGACTGCTAGGAGTGTAAACCTATTCGTATGGTTTTTCCTATTCGGCTGTTTACAGCATTCGTATGGTTTCCTGTTCGGCGGATTGGTGTTCTGCAGTAGCTGTGCCTGTGTCTCTGGAAGGGGAAGATCTACTAAACGGCGGTTTAACCCTTTTATGCTGAGGGTGCCGTTACACCATCTGCACCAAATTTCCCACTCGAAACTGACGTACTACACCCATTCAAGCATGAACTCGTCTATCCTTCCGCACAACCCAAAACATCCCTCCACATCTTCACACATACAGACAAATCTCAGCAAGGTTTAACACCTGTAATTGCGCATCTTCAAGGCACTGACGGACGTTAACACGTCCACCATTAATCTCACATACGAATGGCCCAGGCGGAAATATACTCAGCTACACACCGCAACAATATGACAATCTACGCTGAGAAAAGCTGATACATTCGAACACTGACACTTATTGTATAACGAAGCTGAATGTAAATTTCACTTGTACGTCAGCCATAATAACGTTTTGTATTTATTGTGTTGTAACACTTTCAAAGGACTGCGTGCCTAAACAATCTCTTGTTTTTTCTACAATAAAAACTGATTAACCAAAAAAAAAAAGAAAAAAACCTCTACCACTTCAGCAGGAAGGCTATTCCATGCATCCACTACCCTCTCAGTAAAGTAATACGTCCTGATATTATTTTTAAACCTTTGCCCCTCTAATACAGTAAGAAATACCTCAATTTAAAAAAAAAATAGTACAGGCATGCCAAGGGATTTCAAGTTTTTAATTTTGGCACAGTACTACTAAAATATTGCCTACCCCTCTTTTACACCACTGAAGTCTATAGGGAAGGTCGGCTATCTAAATGTAGTATCGGAGGTTACATGAAAGATTTGTCCTCTTCTCACACCATCCTAGAACTTTTAAGAAATGTTAATGGTCTTATTTCACTCCCCCAGAGCCAACAAGAAAATGACAGCACAGTTATTACATCCCAGGAGCTAATACTGAAGGTTAGATAGCTTATTATATCCCAGGATCCAATAGGAAAGATTGGATATCTTAATACATCGCAGGAGCCAATAATAAGGGTTGGATATCTTATTATATCGCAGGAACCAATAATAAAGGTTGGATATCTTATTATATCGCAGGAACCAATGGGAAAGAGCAGCAATCTTATTATATCCCAGGAGCGGATAAGAAAGGTGGGCACACTTATTATATTGTAGGAGCCAGTGGGTGCTTTTATAATACACTAGTGGCCAATGGAAAAGCTCCTATTATATCTGAGTAGCTAGATTTAAAGGTTGGGGATCTTAATACTCTGATGAAGCACGTATCATCCTAGCATCAATTATTGTATAATTACGGTATATTAAATGTAATCCTATAAATAGATTAAACGAAGACCCATAATTTATTTTAACAAATCTTCCCATTTGATTTATTGGAATGCACTCTTACTAAGGGGGATTTGCTGTGTTTGTTATTTTTTAACTAGTTAAGGCATGTTACCAGGTACATACACTGTAGGGGGGTCCGCCGATCACATAATGTTACCGCTATCCTGCTTGAGCCAGCAGTCTCCCTTAGAATTCTCACCCCCTTGTTTGACATTTTTCCCACATCATGACATCACAGATGTGGATTTGCATCATATTAAACTCCCCCTCACATATTTGGGGTGTGGTTACAGAAGAATGAATCCAATGTATAAATAAGAGCGTTCTCAAGTGTCCTGTGGTTCCTTTATTATTCCCAATAGCGCGAGATATATATATATATATTTATAGTATCTGTTTCTTGACTCTGCTACCCTTCACTACTCTGTTTTTTTGGCATCCTTGACATTACTGTCACTCGCTCTTACGATTTCTGGGTCCTTTTGAACTTGGCTGTTCTCCAGTCATTATACGTTAAACCCAGCCATCCTAAGAACTAATAATACGTTTTGTATTTCTGGAGTTCTGGTGGAATTATACTCTGTGTGTTGGGGTTGTTAACATCGATATAAAGCTCCTCATTCACTCAATATATAGTGAATAAGCAGATTTGTAAACATGTATTTTGTGCCTCGCGGACGGTTCCTGCTTTGACTTACTCTATTCTCAGATAAGAACAAAAGGCAGGAAGGAAACTACAAGGAAATGCTGACACAGGAGCAATACACCACCATGAAGGTCTGCAAATAACACAGAGATAACTCCACACACCACAAACACTGTACTCCTTGCCTACGTCCCACTGCCAGCACCACAGAAGGTGCCACATGTTGGGTGTAATGTTTATGTTAAAGGGCGGCACGTCATGCCAAACAATTTATGTTCCTTAGTTTGAGCATATGATTTAATCTGTACATTGTTCTAGCAATGTATAGATTAGGAGAAATACCTATTTAAAAATGGGTTTTTCTCCTAGTGGTCAGTCAAGGCCTGGGCTGACAAGGGAGAGTAAAAAAAAAACCTCCCTGAGGATGTCCCTCTGCTTCCTCCCATAGCAAGTACAGGATATGCTCCATGATTGCTACTGAAATTCCCTAGC